TAATTTAAAAGGAGAATTCTAATCTCATGTTTATTAAATTGATAGTTTGATTTATTTGGAAAACATCCAAAGGGTTAATAAGTATATCCTACTAAAAGGCAATGAAAATTCAGGACTGGTAAGGAATTTAGAAAGAATGAAAAGGAAGGAGATAACAAGTTAAGCAAAAAAGGCTTTTCAGAAAAAATTCTTCTTTCTTCGTAGTACACAGAGCCTCATAGGTAGATAAAGTTTGGGTTTAGATCTTGCTGTGCATATCAGTAATCTTTATTATTGAGACAAAACAACTTCATTCATAAAAATTTTCTTCCACCCAGCCAGATGTGGTTTCTCAAGGAGATTAACTAGAACCTGATGGATTTCAGCCTCTGTTCAGCACTGCTAGCCAAATACTGTAATTACACAGGATGCAGGCTAAGATAACGTCGACCTTGTACTTAGACGTAGCACTAGATAAGTTGATCTGTCAGAGTTGCAGGTCAGGCTTATCAATCACTAAGGGCTGTATCTGAAAGGAAATAGGAACAAAAGCCAATGAAAACAAAACCAAAATTTCTTATCACTAGGTCTCCTGAATGAAAGAATCTACTAGAGACAAAAATTTCATCTGGAAGGAGCAGATTCCCCAACGTGGATCTGCAGAGCTGTCCTGAGGATGTGCCTTTGCAAATGTCACCTCTGTCCCTTTTGAGCACATGATGTCTGCATGGGAGGTGTGACAGCCTTTCCATTTGACATTTTATGCAGCACACTGCTGATGTTATGAAATTTACATTACGTTGGAAAATCAGTCTTGGTCACAGTTTGCCCTTTGAGAGGAAGTGGATTTTCTTAGTAAAGAGCACTGCTTTATTTTACCCAGACACAGAACAAGCTCATTCTGCCAAGCAGAGGGGGCTGTAAGGGAACAGCTTGTTATCTTAAACATTTTAATGATCCAGAAGAAAAACATTATTGTTCCTTATAGACATAATGCTTATATTCAAATTTTAAATGCCCAGACTTCTGAGAGATGATTGTTAGAGATCCACCATACATGCAGAATAAGGAAGTATTTTGTTAATGGTTAATAAACCCCTAAATCATTTGGAAGCCAACCAGCTCACTTTCAGTTTTTCTAACTATATCAAACTGTGAAGGTTTCGTTGTCTTAATAATCTTACATAAATTAAATGTTGTTCCACACTCTCCTTACCGTCCAATACCTCTGAAGTGCAGTATATGCAGAATTTGTTCCTTTCCTGTGGGGGGTCCCTTCTGAAGAGTTGTCTTTTCTCCACCCCCTTTTTCATAGTCATCTTTAAAAGCTGTATCACAATGCCATTACATCTGTGGTATTATATTACCGCTTCTCTTTTCCTTTCTTTCAGTGATTAATTGCTCCTTAATTTTTGGGTTCATGTTATAATGTTAATGTATTACATTTCACTATTTTATTATTGCTCCTATTATTTTCAAGCAATTGATGGTTTCTTTAGCTGCAGTCTTTAAGCACATGGGCTGTGGCTTATTTATCTTTGATCACTGGAGCAAAAGAACAAGAACATGACAGACATCTAATAAATCTTTGTTGAATGCATGGGTGCATAAGTAAACAGTAAAACAAGTCATTCTAAAGAAAAAGGTCAGGCTTTAGTTCAGCTCCTAACATTTTAATCTTTTGAAATAGCATAGAAGCAAAATGTGTACCCTAATATATAAAGCCAACTGTAGGTGAAGAGGGGACTGAAAGACATGCTTAGAACTCTTCCTCCTCATTCTTCATATATCCACGGGGAAGGGGAAAGTTCTTAAACCCCAGAAGAATCTGCAGGAGAAGCGTTTTTAGCTCCTCTCCACTCTTCATTGCAAGCTCCCTCCACTGAATGTTTTTTTTTTTTTGTCTTTTTTCCTTTTTATCAGTACCGGGGATTGAACTCACGACTGCCTGCTTCCAAGGCAGGTGCTTATGCCGCTGAGCTAAACCCCCAGCCCCCCCTCCACTGAATGTTGATAATGGGGGAAGACAGCACAGAGTCGGCTCCATGTTTTCTGGATCCTTTCTGTATTTCTTGCATTCTACTCTTTAACCTCTGGCAAGCTCAGCAGAGTAGTCCTGTGTCTTCAGGTGGGTTTGCATTTTCAATGCAGACAATATTTATTAGGCCTGCAGAAGAATATGGTTTTATCATTAACAAAGTGGCTCAGTTTTTTTTTTCTGTGTTTGCAATCATCTCTGATACTTAGTGTGTTGAGAATTTTTCAGATCTACTATTTTAGTTATTTTGAAATAGCTAAACTATAGTACATTAGTGTTAACTAACATTGGATAGCTAACTGTGGTATATTACTGTTACCTGTACTAACAGTCAACAGAAGAAGAATGAGAAATGAGACTGTAGCAAATGGATAGTTGTTTACCCTGCACAGGGAACAATTAATAGAGTGAAAGAAAACTCTCAATTTGGAGAAAATATTTGTGAATCACCCATCAGAGAAGGGGTTAATATGCAAAATATACCAGAACTCAAACTATTTAAGAACATAAAAAGCAATCTTATTAAAAATGAACAAAGGCCTCACATAGACTTTTCTTTAAAAATTGCATATGAATAATCAGTAGATGTGTGAAAAAATATTCACAATCATTGGAGAAATGTAAATTAAAACTGCAGCGAGACATCACCTCATCCCTGTCAAACTGACTATTATCAAGATGGTGAAAGCCAGCAAGTGTTGACAAGAATGTGAAAAAAGGGGAACTCTTGTATGCAATTCACTTTTATCAATAATGAACATGATACCTGACCTCTGTTATCTGACCCCTTCTCTTACTCCTCCATCTAGTGAACCATTCTCAGGTTGGGAAGCTGGTGTGTTACTTGTTGCTTCCAACAAACAATGCTGAAACAATGTGTCTCTAGTTGCATATTCCCAGAATAACATGGAATTATAAAATTTCAGTAAACTTGTATTATAATTAATTTAAATTTAGTATTTAAAGTATTGAATTGAGGTAAACCTACCAAATATTCTCATTTACTCACAAATTTACTTCAGAATCATTCAATTGCCTCCCCCCACCAGAGAATGAATGGCATTAGGCATACAGAGCTTACAGTGTAGTTACTGAATACAGGCACCTGCTGGATGCATACATGGGCTTCCTTGTTCAGCCTGGTCTAGCAACAGGAATTCATGCCTCTGGTGACTTCATGTTTGCTAGTTGGATAACTTCAAGGATGAGGCAGCCTGCATTATTTTATTATGTGAAAATTTTCTAATTTGTACTTTTTCCTATTTATAGTCTCTGATTGAGTAAAAACAAATCTATCACATACTTTTCCATGGTAAAGTTTTAGAATGTTAATGCTATTTCTTTTAAATCAGGGGCTATGTATGTTTTATCTACATAGCCTCTCTGTGCTTTAATAATACTAAAACATATTTGAGCATTAGATGCTGTGCATGGTATTTGTCATAGAAAAATGAAGTACATACTGCTCTCTTAATAAAAAGTCATGTATATATAAAGATATGCTTACAAACAATGGTATAGATTGCTGTAATTGAAGTGTGTAGGGAAGGAAAAGGCACCGGAGGCAGGAGATACACAGTGCTGGGTAGGGAAAGGGGCTATCAGATGGGCAAAGGGAAACTGCCATTTGGGGATGTCTTAAATGAGGGGTTTTCCAGGTAGAAGGGAAGGGAAGAGAAATAAAAGTGTATAAGGACACAGAGGAAAGGAAGACTGTTGTGTAGACTACAGGGATCAGTGTTCCAGGAGTCTGGGCAGGTGACAGAAGACCTAGAAAATAAAGGTGCTCAGAACACAAATGCTTCCTATAGTGCTCTGAAGGATGAATTTGGAGTACAGGAAAAGAAAACCATTGTAAACTATGGAATAAGAAAGTAACTATATTTGATAGCTTAGAAGGGTCTCATAATAGAAATGGAATGAAATTAAAGGCAGGGACATCATTTAGAAAAGGGATTTATGTCTGTTTCTCTTTTAACTTTTGTAATAACTCAGCCGACTGCTAGATGAGGGTCAGGCAGAATAAAGACTAAGTGGTAAAGCTGGGCCTAGTGGTCTGTATCTGTTATCACAGAACTTCGGAAGGTTCCGAAGGGGGATAGTTTGAGTGCAGCCTGGGCAACTTATAGCAACTTACTGACACTTTTTCTCAACATACAACATATAAATAAATAGCTGAGCGCATGACTCAGTGCAAAGACCCTACACTCAATCCCCAGTACAGCAAAAGGAGGACAGAGGGGAAATGACAGATGCAAAGGGTATTCAACATGGAGAAATGGGATTTGGACTGGATAAAAGTGGAATAAGAGAAGGAGGAGTAATTCTGAACAGGATTGGTTTCTTTGGGAAGATGAAGGTGAAAAATATCTAGAATTCCGTAACTTTTAAAGCAGGTATTCCATAGGTATTAAAAACTCTTGGGAGATGTTGTAAAAACTGATGATTTTATAAAATTGAGAATCCTTAACACATGAGTAGTCCTCAGAGAAGTGCGCCTTGAGGAAGACTCTGGAGTTCCTTAATACTCCAGGGACTTACTGAGTTAAGAAGAAAACTAAAAGAAAATAGTGCTTCAGAGGCCAAGAGACAAAGGAGTGTTCATCACTGTCAGAGAACACAAAAGATGACATTGAACAAAGACTGATAAACTTCTGGTGGATTTCTTGATTAAACTATGGTTGGTGATCCTTACCCAGAGGTATGTAAGTGGAGATGTTAAGAAAAAGCAGAGGCACTATCTTCCGGGTAGTGGTTAGTCTTGATTGTAACACAATTGGATTGAAGGATGGCCCGCAGCTTAGTAAAGAACACTTCAGGATGTGTCTGTGGGGATTTCCAGAGATGAATGGCATGAAGGACAGTCTGAGGGGGAAACCCACCCTGATTGGGGGTGGCACCATTCAATAGGGTTGCAGCTGGACTCAATGAAAGGCGAGGAAGAGGAAGTCAGCCTGTGTTTCAAAGATCCATTCTGTTTCAGCAGATGTGTCCTTTATGGCTGCTGTCTCCTGCGGACGTCAGATTCCAGTTTCTTCAGATTTTCAATGTGAACTCATAGAAGCAGTTCTTGAGAGAGCTTCCAGGTCTTCAGTCTCAGCTGAAGCTCCAACCTTTCGTGCTGAAGTTTCCACCTTCTTGGATTGAGCAGCTAATGTGTCCCCTGGCTTTCCAGCATGCAAATTGCACTTATGAACTACCCAACTTCTAAGCCTGTAAATCTGTCTAATAAATTCCTTACCTAATTATCTATAATATATATGTATATCTGTATTATACTATACACACACACACACACACACACACACACACACACACACACACACACATATTCTGTTGATTCTGTTTCTTCTGAGACCCCTAACCAATATAATGGTCAAGCAAGAGTTTCTTAGGGCAACCATTTGTCTTTTCTTCTTCTTCTCCTTCTCCTCTTCCTCCTCTTCCTCCTCCTCCTCCTCCTCCTTCTCCTCCTCCTCTTCCTTCTTCTTCTTTTTCTTCTTCTTGGATCTTTTTTGAAACAGGGTTTCACTATACAGTTTAGACTGCCCTTGAACTCACTTTGTAGCCAAGACCGGTCTTGAACCCCCAGCCATCTTCCTGTGTCAGCTTCCTGAATGCTGGGATTACAGTAGTATTATGCCATGCTAGGCATTGATTTGGTTTATTATTTTGCTTTAGGATCTTTTTTAAAAAATGTTAGGCCAAATACTTGTAATACCAGACTTCATATTAAAAAGGAAATATTTTTAGTAAACATAAAAAGTTACAGCAAGATTTCTTTGTGGATATGCTTTCAGGATTCTGGGGAATTAAGCAAAATTTGCTGCTATCTCAGCCGGAATAGATTCAGTGTGAACACCTTCCCCCCAGACTTGAATGGTCTGTGGAGGCCGTTTCAATTCCAAGTGGCCCCATGTTTTCCCAGAGCAGCCATGATTTGCACCTGAAAAGTCTCTAAAATTATAACTACAGATGTAGCTACCTTTTCTGAATAAGGAAGTCATAACATAAAATGTTTTTCAAACAGAAGTTCTCAAATGCCTGTAAAATGCTTTGTGGAAAGATATAGGTAGAAATTAAAGAAAAATATAACATCATCTAAGAATTTTAAATATTGGTTTAATAGAGTAATATAACTTTAGATGCAAGAAATGAAAAAGATTAAAACAATTAAATGGAGAATATCTAGTCTATACTTTGCAGAATTATTTGATAGATTGTATTAATGGCTTAATGATGGCAATAGATATTTCTGAAAATTGATTTTATTTTCAAATTGCTAAGTACCAGTCAATTTTATATGTTCATTTTAGGCCTTGTCATTTGAAAAACTATAAAAAATAATAAATTATCCAGGAAATTAGGTTTGTTAAAAGTATAGTAATTTCATTATCTTATCATTGTGTACACTGATACTCAAGAGAATGGTGTCCCATGTTAGATATTTAGTTGGCTTATTGTACAGCTCAATTATAGCAGTCTTTGAAGGATAAAAGAAATTGGCTAGAAGTTACATTTAATTTCATTGCAACTTTGAATGTAGCTACTTTTAGCCTAATTTGGTAGGAATTGGCTCAATCCATTTCATGAAAATAATCCTTATTTTTGTTTTATGACCCTGTGGCCTCTTCTTGGAAATCAGTCTCTTCAATGGCAGGCTCATTTAGAATTGGTCTCAAATATTTCCCCCATCACCTTGGTCTTCAATCGGAAACCTGCCTAAATGGCCCTGGGTTATCACAAGTTTCTAACTTCGATACATGATCCCTTCTTTGGAAATACAGCCTGGTTTTCATAATTTTGCTTTCCTATTAAATGGTTGATTTTGCTATTAGGCTGTATCTCTGTTATTTATAGGTGCTATTTCATTTGGTAGAAAATTTTCAAAGGAGATCTTCAACAGGACATTTTTTTATTTTTCTCTTATGGAAATAAAATCTGGGGCTGCCCACTTCAGGTACACATGTATAGTATCACAGACCAAGGCTCCTTCTGTCTGTTCTCCACCAGTCCCTGCTCCTGGTTTTTACCTCATGTTTCAAGAGTTTTATTTCTCAGCCTGCTAGAGGCTCTGGGGAGAGGATTGCAAGTTTGATCCCGATTCAACAAATCAGGGATATTTTGTGTTTCAAAATTAAAAATAATAAAGGGCTGAAGTTGTAGCTCCTTGTGAAAGTCCTGCATTAAACCCCTAGTACTGCAAACAAACAACAAAATAAAGAAAATAAAAGGAAGCAAGGGAGGGAGGAAAGAAAGAAGTAGAAGGGAAGGAAGGAACAAGGGTTAGAGATAGGAAGGAAGCCAGAGAGGAAGGGAGGGACAGAGAGAGGGCACCAGTGGTCTCGTCTGCCCTGTGATCTCACTACATCTCAGCTGTTATCCTCCTCTTGAATAGAGCCCTCTTGATGTTGGCTACCCCTTTCCTTCAGCTTTTAGAAAAATAATTTCTGTCTATTGTCTTACATATTTTTCTTTCTGTTCATGATGTTTTTCATCTAAGACAAAGATCTCGTGCATTACAGGCCTAGTGAAGTTCTATACCCTGAAGGAATTTAATAATATGATCAAAATGGGCAAATATGGAAATCAATGATCAAAGGATCTATTAGACAGCACTGCTCCTGGCAAAATACTGTTTATATCTGCCTAGGAAGCTATTCTGTTCCCTTTGAGTAAGTCTCCTGTGGGATTGTTCTAGGTGGGAAGCATTGTGATGATGATGGAGCTCTTAATACAACTCCTGTAGCCTGGAAGGTAGACCCAATGCACAGCGTTCGGGAGAGTCCCAGGAAATACCTCTTCCACACAGCACTGCAGGAGCATTACCTCCAGGGCTGACCAGATTTTCATTCTCTTAATGAACTGGGAAGAGTGATGAGAGTGATAATGAATGCAAATAAAATATGCTGAGAAAGCGTAGTGAACAAATACATGAAAAAAGTCCTGCATTTAAAAATAATAGCATAATAAAATAGGCATAACTTCTCTGGCCTTGCTACTTTCTTTAGTGATGAGGCTTTAATAATTATAAGGGAGTTCCGGACTCCTAGGAACCCACACTTAAAAATTTTTCTTTTTATATTAATGTTTAAAAATGCTTATAAATTGAGATTCTAAAACAAGTTCTGACTACTTTATGCAGAGGTTAAAGGCTAATGACTGCTGTAAACTATTTTTATAATGGGCATTATTTAGAGTTGCAAGATAAAATACACAACACAGTTAAATTTGGAATTGGATAGACAATGAACATTCTTTTTAGTATACGTATGTCCTGTTCCATATTTGGAACATACTTATACTAAAACAATTTTTTGTTGTTTTTGTGAAATTCAAATGTCACTGGATTCCTTGCAATCTTTCCTACGTGGCAACCCTGTCCTTAATGGCTTATGTTTTCTCTGTCCATGAACACTTAAAATACAGCATAATATTGCTCCTCTCTCAAAGGTAGGGTTTGTATTTCCATGCTATTAAATCAGTACTGGCTTTGATCCATCAGATATGGCCAGAGGACTTGTGCAAATTATGGGCTCAGCTTTACTCTCTCTGAGCTAGGTAAAAAGGTTGGGACCAGACTGCTGAGAGCAGCCTCTCATTTTGTGAAGGTTTAGCATGTAAGGCCGTCACAGTCTGGGGTTGTACTAGATCCCTTAAAATAAAGAAGCTTGCAATCGAGGTGGGAAAGACCCACAAATAAGCCACCTTGCCAATCTTTACAGTCAAGAGAATGATGGTAAATCTGTACTTAGAATGCTTGTCTTTGTGTCTATTTGAAATGGTGAAGTTCTAATGCTTAACACAAGACATTTTCTGTTTCTGGCAGGGTGCAGACATTCAGTGGTTCTTCCAGGGAAAAATATAGAATAAGCCTGAAAAAGTAGTTTGAAACACATTATTACATTGTAAATATGTTTTCACCAGCAAAAAATAAAATAAAAATAAATAAATAAAAGGAAAGCAACTAGAATTCACGTTGGAATGACGATGAGTTTTAAACTGGTAGTGACTGAGTTGTCTTAAAGTAGTAATAGTAATCATATTCTGCCTTATGTCATCAGTAAAACAAATAAACACAATGGAATAACTGAATTAATTCATAAAAGTAAAGGAGTTACAAAGTGCTTTTCTCAAGATAAACAGATATTATTAACATTGATAAAAGTCTGGATTTTAAAATAAGTTTAGGGCAACTTGTAAAAAGAAAGATTACTGCATTTAGTTACTATTATATAAAAAGCAACTGAATACAACTGTGAAAAAGGCATATAGTGACAATGACTCAGAAATGATACCTTATATTTAGAGTTTAAAAGAAGATACAAGTAGTTCTACTAATCAACCCAATATTTTAGATTTAATATTAGAACAACACCATCTGTCATACATAATTCAACTTGTTAGTTTCAATTGTATAACATTTACAGCTTTGAAATTTAATTTAATGTACACATATGCTATGATTTTACAGGTTTAAAAGCTGTGTTCTCTGGTTTAATGCTTCTCTATATAGTATTTAAGTATTACAATTAGATTAAAGCTGAAGTCCTTAGAATTCAATACAGAGGGCTCTTTGCAATGCAATCAATCAAAAATGTACAGTGTATTAAACAATGTAATAAGAATGAGTGTACAGAGAACAATTCCATTAATGTATTTTCTTTTATAAGGCACATAAGATATACAATAAGTACTGGACTTAGAAAGAGGTCAGAGAAAGGAAAAACATGGAAACACAGCTTTTGTAAGCAAGGAGGGGAAGAAGGACAGGAAGGGGAATGGGGAGAAAAAGAAGAATTGAGATATAGTATGTACAATTAGAAATTCCCTAACATGAATAGGATCATTGTATATATCAAAGGTGTACAAATGAATTGAATTAAAAAAGAAAGACATCAAAGTAAAGTAATAATGCCTTTAAGAAGTAAAGAGGTATAGTACATCATTATGAGGAACTCACAAAATATAAAGTATCAGAGATAAATCAGTGAGCAGTAAGGAAAAATCAGAATTTTCTTTTCTCATTTAAATTTTTGGTTCACCTAGCTTTCTGTTTACTTTTTATGTGGTGAACTAGCAATGCAGTGTCATTTTTCTCTCCCCTGGGAATCAGCTACTGTCCAAGGACAATTTCCAGAGAATTCCCTGTCAAATATCCAGTCTTATAGATGCCTGGATCTGATTTGGGGTGTGAGTCTAATTGCATCATTTCCACAGTATCACATTGTCCTGAGGGCTGCAGGGTCATCGTG